TCCAGTGCCCAGGGCTCCAGAAGGAAGCAACAGCCTCTTGCAGGTGTCCAGCCCATCTGGAGCTCTGTGCCTGGGCACCTCTAAGGAACTAGTGACAGGGCCCCTGAGTCAGGACTGGGTCGTACAGAGAGCTGGCCAGGTGGTTGGAACTCTAGCAGGTGGAGCCAGCTCTGCCTGGGCCAGGAGGGAGGCTGGGCATGGGGCCTTGGAAGGGACATCCTTGCAGTAACTGCCAGAGAGGCTCTGGCTTGGGGATTGTTGGGGCTGTGTGCCCTCCCTTCCTGGCCCTGGTGAGATGGGGAAGAAAGGCACAACCTAGAGGAGCCTTAGGCTTTTGAAGTCACTGTGTCAGTTGCCATATCCCTGCTCTGAGAAAAATGCAATTAATCTTGTTTACCAAACAATGCTTATCCCTCCAAAGCCCTGAAGAAATTCTCATTTGCTTCCACCTGGATTAGTTCTCACAGATGGAAGGCCATCCCACCTGGGCCCATCCTACCTCAGGGTCCTCCTTTTTAAATTGTGTTTATTTTGCCAGACTTGGTGGTGTACGCCTGTAATCCAGTGGCTCAGGGGGCTGAGGCAGAGGATCACAAGTTCAAAGCCTGCCTCCGCAATTTAGCAAGGCCCTAAGCAACTCAGAGATACCTTGTCTCAACAAAATTATAAAGCGGGGCTGGGGATGTTGCTCAGTGGTTAAGCACCCTTGGGTTCAATCCCTGGTTTTAAAAAAAAAAAAAAGTTTATTTTGCAGCACTAAACCATAACTCAGCCCAGGCTCCTCCTTTTGATGTGTCCCCCAACCTCAAGTGCGGAGGTGAGCCACAGGTGCATCAAGTAGCATGCAAAACATTTTCCTAGGTTGACCTGGTGGGCACCCCCCTGTCATCCCAGCAACTTGGGAGGCTGAGGCAGGGAGATTGCAATTCTGAGGCCAGCCTCAGCAATTTAGCAAGGCTCTAAGCAACTTAGTGAGACCCTGTCTCCAAATAATAAAAAAAGGTTGGGGATGTGGTTTAGCAGTAAAACACACTGGGTTCAATCCCTAGTACCAAAAAAAAAAAGAGAAAAGAACAAAATTCAGCCCTGTGAGGGAGGGTCCAGGGGCGGAGGGGGCAGTGATACCTTCTGTATTGGGGCTCCTAAGCCTCAGGTCACCACTCTGTGGGCCCCGGTGCCCAGGTCTGAACTGCAAGTGGGCTACAGTCCAACTCTGTCAGCTGTGCGCTCTGCCTATGGACCTGTCTGGGTCAGGGCATCACTACTGTATGGTATCAGCAGGGGAACTTGGGTGCAGGGATGAGCTTCAGTGCCTGGAGGAAGTAGACGGTCAAAGGGGATGTAACTGACCTCGGCCCCGCAGGGCAGTTGCTTTACCCTTGGTTCAGTGCTCCTGGAGCCCTCCAGCTCACATCATTGGTCATCATTGGCCTGCTCTAGAGTGTTCAGCTGGGGCTGGGTGGGCTGGTGGAGCCCGCTTAGGGTCTGAGCAGCTCTGACCCTCCTTCACCCCTCCCTCTGGATGGAACCCACTTATTTATTTATTTTGGTACTGGGGATTGAACCCAGGGACACTCAGCCTTTTTTTTTTTTTTAATTAATATTTATTTTTTAGTTTTAGGTGGACACAATATCTTTATTTTACATTTATGTGGTTATGAAGATTGAACCCAGTGCTTCATGAATGTTAGGCGAGCGCTCTACCACTGAGCTACAACCCCAGCCCCAGACACTCAGCCCTTTTATTTATTTATTTTTTAAAATTTTAATATTTATTATTTATTTTTCGGCGGACACAACATCTTTGTTTGTATGTGGTGCTGAGGATCGAACCCGGGCCGCACGCATGCCAGGCGAGCGCACTACTGCTTGAGCCACATCCCCAGCCCCTTATTTTTTATTTGAGACAGGGTCCTGTAGAGTTGTTTAGGGCCTCCCATAGTTGCCCGTGCTGGCCTCAAACTTGTGATCCTCCTACCTCAGCCTCCCAAGTAGCCAGGATTACAGGCGTGCATCACTGCACCCAGCTTTTCCTAGGACCTTTTAGGAGTACCTTTCTCAGGTGGGCAGCTTTTGGGAGAACCTTCCTGGCCTGACCTAGGCAGTGGCCTCTCCTTCCAAAACACAAAATGTCTAAAGTCCTATCTCAATGGCTTTGAGATGGGCTAGAGAGTGGTTTGGGTGGTCTGTGCTTTGTCTGGCCCCAGGCCTTAGCCTGTGAGTACTGTACCTGCTTGTAATCCTGGTGACTTGGGAGGCTGAGGCAGGAGGATCACAAGTTCAAGCCGCCCTGAGCAACTTAGTGAGACCTGTCTCAAACTAAATAAAAAGGGCTGGGGATGTGGCTCATTGATTAAGCCCCCCTGGATTCAATCCCTGGTACCAAAACAAATCCCAGGCCTTGATCTACTCCTCTCAATATACTCTCCCTTCCCCCTGCCGCAGCCTGAGGGGTGGGGCAGCTGACTGGGCAAGAGCAGTGGCCCTCCTGGTGCAGCCCTGTCCTCATTGTATGAGCTCACATTCGGGGTGCTCAGCTTCTTGGCCCTAGAGATGGGAGTGCCCCACTTATACCTGAGCAGAGGAACAGGGCAGCTGCACTTTCTGATCCTGGTGCCCCAGCCCTCAGCTTATGAGGTTTGTAATAGAAGAAATCAAGAGGTTGGGGGTGTGGGTCTGTGGTTAGTGCTTGCCTAGTCCCTGAGTTTCCTAGTACAAAAATAAAATGAAGTATAGACTCCTAATAGTAAGTACACAGAGAATTGCACATTCAAATACAGTGGGGGGCTGGGGTGCAGTTCAGTAGTGAAGTGTTGCTTGGCCTGTGCGAAGTCCTGGGTTCAATCTCTGGTACTGCCAAAAAAAGTATTAAGAAGCAGACAGTGTCTTGGTACTGGAGATTCTGGCCCAGAACTGGTACTGGGCAGCAGCCTATCTGTGCACTTTTGCTACGTGGCTCCACAGCTTGTCTCACTTTTTTATCGGCCTGTCTTAGACATGCCTGTCAGCACTGTATACAGAGTAACTGAAGACACCATTGTACTGCTCCTGCCCCCGAGACCACTGGCCAGCTGGCATGATAAGGGCCTGGGGGCGCCTTGTTCCCATGTTGGCTTAATTGTGTTTGTGGAGAGGCTTTGAAGGGCACAGACTGTGCTCGCCCTGACCACCCTCCACTCCCATTGTCCTTGTCCTTCCCACAGCAGTGTACCTTGGGGGTGGGACAGAGTGTGCTCTTCAACCCCAGGTGACTGGCTTAGGCTTCCAGGTCCTCTCCTTTGTTATTTTCTTCAGGTGGTGCCTCCGGCTGTGCCTTCACATCTGTCTCTTCCGTGTGTCTGCAGGGTGGGCTAGGGTGAGCCTAGGGTGCTACAAGCTGCTCTCCAGAGAGCCCCTCCCAACCCCGTGTGGCAGCAAGGCTGTGGCAGAGCCGCTCGCTGCTCTGGACAGTCCATCTCTAGCACTTCGTGTGGTGGCCTCCTGGCTGCCCATTCTCTTCCTGTTCCTCTCAGTGGTGTCTTCTCTTTTTTAAATATTTTTTATTTGTTGATGGACCTTTATTTTGTTTGTATGTGGTGCTGAGAATCGAACCCGGCGCCTCACACGTGCCAGGCAAGTGCTCTACCACTGAGCCCTAGCCCCAGTAGTGTCCCCCTGACAGCTGGGTGGCAGGCAGCCCCTGTGGAGTGAGCAGGCTGGATCTTTTGTCGTGCTAGTTGGACTGTGTATTTTGTCCCCTCTGTCTCTCGACTTGTGGTGATCTTTTCCATGCAAGTGTTTTCTTTTTCAGGCTGTTGGTTTTCTATGGCTGCTATAACAAGTTATCACAAAATCAGTAGCTTAAAACCGTATAGACTGCTGGAAATGTAGCTCAGCAGCTGAGCGCTCGCCTAGCGGGTGCACAGCCCGGGTTCAGTCTCCAGTATTGCAAAAATAAATAAGTTTGTCCTCTTGCATTTCTGGAGGCCAGAAGTCCTAAGGTCCAGGTGTGGCAGGGTTGGTCCCTCCTGAGGCTCCAAGGAGAATCTGAGCCCCGCCTTCTCCAGCTTCTAGAGGCCACAGCCCTCAGCTGGCCAGCGATGAATGCGGTCTTCCAGTCTGTCTGACTCTCTGCCCCATTCATGGTGTTTTTCAGAGTGTTTGAATGTATTGTGCTTTTTCTTTTTCTACACAAGTGTGATCACCAACAGACCTCTTTCCTTCACACGTCTTATGCGGGTGTGACGGGACAGTGTGCTGAGTGGGGACTCTTCCTCCACCCCGCCGTGGTTGGCGCTGGGTGCTTTCTCGGCTTTCACTTTCTCCCCAGTTAGGGCTGGCCTAGTGAACTTTGCCATACGCAAAAAAGTTTGTGGGAGCTAGGCAACTTGGGGAGACCCCAGCTAAAAACAAAAAAAGCTGCACACAGTGGTGTGTGCTCACAATCCCAGTGACTTCCGAGGCTGAGACAGGATGGCAAGTTTGAGGCCAGCCTTAGCAACTTGGCAAGATCCTGTCTCAAAAGGAAAAGGACTAGGGATATAGCCTCTGGGTTCAAATTCCATTAAAAAAAAAAAAAGTCTGTGGGAGACACTGGGCCTTGTGACATACTCACACCACTGGGTGAGCGGAGCCCAGTTGCCCATGGAAGGCCTCACCCTTGTGTCCCCTGCCAGAGCTGGTTGGTGGCTCAGCCCAGAGCCTTGAACTGTCGGGCTGTGTGGCCCACTGCCCAGGTAGCCTGGTCTGCCCTGTCGCCTTTGCATTGTGAACTCAATGTGTAAATTCCTTGAGCCGAGCTAGGATGTCTCTGGGACACGCTGCTGTTGGCAGTTGCCAGGATCCTGCCTGCCTCCCACCCCTCTGCCTGGGCCTCAGTGGGGGCTGCTGGGACCTGGGCCAGAGCCTGGAGTCTGGTTAGTCCCAGGAGGGCTGGCTCTGCTCTCCCTGCCCGGTGGAGGCCGGTGTGCGGCAGCTCTGCAGGCCTGCTCACTGGCTCTTCTCTCCTCTCTCACTCTCAGGGCTTGGCTATGATCCATACAACCCCGAACTGCCCAAGCCCCCAGCACAGAGGGAGAATGGCGCCCTGGGCCGGGGGGATGAGCCCCGCTCGGACATCCTGGAGCTGCAGCTGGTCAACCAGGCCATCGAGGCTGTACGAAGTGAAGTGGAGCTGGAGCAACGGCGCTATCAGGAGCTACTGGAGACAGCCCGCGAGTACAGCTCCGCTGAGTACAGTTCCACCGGGGCTGCTGCCCTGGCCCCCTGCGGTCCTGCTACCAGCCCCACCTCAGCCCTGGACAAGGATGCCTTCCCGCTGACCTTCAGCTATACCTCCAGCAGCCATGGCCTGCTGACCCCTGATGCCAGCTACCAGCCCACCCCGCTGGCCAGCCCTGCTGAACCTGGCAGCAAGTATTCCCTGGCATCTCTGGAGAGGGGTCAAGGCAAGGTGGGAGGGGGCAGCAGCGCCCTAGAGTATGTTCCCAAGGCTGTAAGCCAGTCCCGGAGGTACGGCCGCCCTGTGCCCAGCAGCAAGTATGTAGTGGACAACTCCAAGCCGTCCACTGACCTAGAGTATGATCCACTCTCCAATTACTCAGCCCGGCACCTCAGCAGGGCCAGCTCCAGGGATGAGAGGGCCACCAAGCGGCCCCGGGGCTGCCGTGGCAGCGAGCCCTACACACCTGCTCTCAAGAAGCCCTGTGACCCCTTTGGTGGCTGCGATGCCAGGTTCTCAGATTCTGAGGATGACACCACCCCAGCTGCAGCAGAAGAGCCAGCCACAGCCAGCTCCCCTGTGGCCGAGGCCAGTCCTTCCAAGGCTGGGACAAGCCCCAAGAGCAAGATCCCTGGGAAGCCATCCCCGAAGGAGGGCCTGGAGCCCGAGGAGGGCAGTCTGCGGGAGACCAAGGAGATGGCTGTTCAGTGTGACGTGGGAGACCTCGGGCAGCCCCCAAAGGGCCCAGATGGGGCGTCCCCAGCCAAATCTGGCTCCCCAGCCAGGGCCTTGCAGGGTCGGGGTGGCCCAAAGGAAGGCACACCCAAGAAGAAAAATGGGACCCCACTATCCCTTGGCCACAAGGACAGTGCCCGGAAGAAAGACAAGACCAAGGACAAAGACCGAGGGCGGTCCGAGAAACCAGGTGCAGGAAAGAAGAGCCTGCAGACTGGCAGCCCCCGGCATAAGGCCGAGCGGCCAGAAGGGACCAAGAAAAAGCCATCTTCAGCCACCCCAGTGGCCAGCTCAGGGAAAGGGAGGCCCACCAGTGGGGGCCCCCGGCCCCAGGACTCTCGTCCCAGTCCCCACCAACTGCCAGACAGGAAGGGTAGCGGGAAGATGCCATCAGGGAAGCTGGTAGAGCGCAAGGCCCGCTCGCTGGACGAGGGTGCCTCTCAGGATGCCCCCAAGCTGAAGAAGCGGGCCTTAAGCCACGCCGAGCTCTTCGGGGATGAGAGCGAGGAGGAGGGCCCCGGGCCCAGGGCCCTGCAGGTCCGTCCCCCTGCCCTCCCCAGCCTCAGCTCAGACTCAGACTCAGACTCGGACTCCAGCCTGGGCCTCAGCGCCCCGAAGCTGCCCAAACGTCTCAAGGCCTCCCCGCCCCCCTCCCCTGCATCTTCCTCCTCCTCTTCCTCCTCCTCCTCCTCAGGGGCTGGGGAGGATGCAGAGGAGGATGTGGACTACTCGGCCCTGGAGAAGGAGGTCGACTTTGACTCCGACCCCATGGAGGAGTGCCTGCGGATTTTCAACGAGTCCACCAGTGTGAAGACGGAGGACAAGGGCCGGTTGGCCCGGCAGGTGAGGGGCACCGGGCAGTTGCAGCTGGGCTCCTGGTCGGGCCGGCCTTGGGGTTCAGTCCTGGCCCTGCGGTACTCAGCCCTGGCGAGGGCCCTGCAAGGGGACGTTCCACCCTACAGCTGTTTGCAGACGACTCGAACCTCAACGACTGGTAGAAGCTGCTCCTTCAGCGCTGGCCTCTTAACTCATTTAAAATTCAGGAACCCTCGGTGGCCGCCTGCTGCCCCCCCGCACCCTCTCCAGAAAGAGGACCTTGGCTTACAGCCCGCCCAGCCGGGTTTCCGCGGCAGCGTTTGGACTGACCGTTCAGACTGACCGGCAAAGGGGTATCGGGCCCAACCCGCCCCTCGCCCTGCCCTCTTTGTCCCCTACCCCTTGCCTCTAGCCCCTCTCCCCACTCTGTCCTCTCTTCTCTGACTTCTCTCTCCTACCCTTCCTTGCCTCTAGCCCCTCTCCTCTCTTCCAGCCTCCCCTGACTCTGGTCTCTGTCCTCCTCTTCTCTTCGTCCTTCCCTCACTCCCCCAGAACATTAGGGATTCCTGGTTCTCTGGCCAGCCCTGACTTTTCTGGGCCTCCTCATCTAGTGCCCCCACATCAGCCACCAGAGGGAGCTCTCCTAAACCAAGTTGGACTTGGCTTGAGCCCTCCAGGAACAGGCCTCCAGGGCCTGTCTGGAGTCATCTGGTTCTCAGTGCCTGAGCTCTGCCCCGTGCCCTGCAGGAGCAGGAGAGGTGGGACTGGGCTCCTGTGGAACCTGCTGCTCCATCCAGGACAAGGCCTGGCTCTGGGGCCTCAGCTACAAGACCAGCGAAATGTCCTGCCTGCCCCAGGATTAGGGCCTGGAAAGGCACATCCTCCACTCGCTGGAGGGTGGTTGGAGGCAGGGTGGGGAGGAGGGCATGTGCCCGTGTCAGGTCCGTGAGGCCTGGCGGAGACATCCATGTTGAGGAGCGGCCATGTGTTTCAGCCCCCCAAGGACGAGAAGAGTGAGGAGAAGGGGCATGCCGGCCTGATCACTCTGTTCCCAGGGCAGAAGAGGAGAATCTCGCATCTTTCCAAGCAAGGCAAGGAGGTAAGGGCTGGCATTTTGGTCCTGGGTGGAGACTCTCGGGGGAGGAGGGCGTAGCCCCTTTATCCCTGGCACCTCTGTGGACGTCAGACCCCTTGTGTTCCTGTCCAGGGAACTTGGCAGACTTGTTTCAACAGCTGCTGTGTCCTGGGGGAGAGGTGCATTCTACCCACACAATGTCCTCAGATTCTCCCCAACGCTGAGCAGGTGTCACAGAGCAGGGGAGACTGCCATGAGTCCTGGCCCCAGTGGGCTGTGACCTGGTGCAAGTTGTCCTACCTGAGCCTTTGCTTCCTCTCCTGTAGCCGTGGGGACAGTGAGTTAGCACTGGAGAGCCAGGGTAGAAACGCTGGCTCCAAGGTCAGCAACCAGGAGTTCCAGTGGCTTCTGTCATCAGGCCCTTCCTGGGAGGAGGGGCCAGGGGATTCAGGAAGCTGGAGTCCAAAGGAATTTTTTATCAGGCAGGATTGGATTGAAGCATTGCCCCAATCAGAGGCCCAGGGATTCCTGCCCCACCCTGCCTGTATATCAGCACCCAGTGGCATGGCCTTGGTACTGGGGAGGCTGGAGCCAAGAAGGCAGGTCAGGCAGATGCTTCTGGACCTCGGGCAGTGTGAGCTTGGGGGCCGAGTCTCTGTGCTGGTCCCCTGCAGAGGCTCAGGGGTGACTGGAGGGGCTGCCTACCCATCTTCGGAGCCGCTGCTGCCTTGCTGGCAGCCTCCCTGGGGCCACCTGCTCTGGGTGCTCCAGACATGCAGCCAAGCCCCAGGATGTGACTTCATCCAGGCGGAGCCCCCGAGGAGGGGCCCAGCGGTGCCCCCGGCCCGGCTCCCGACCGCCCAGGAGGTGTGCTACAGGCGGGCCCAGCAGATGCAGAGGGAGTCAGCCAGCTGGCTGCAGGCCGCCCCCCGGCCAGCTGAAAAGCCCTCCTCCGTCCACATCGCTGCACCTGGAGAGAAACGGAGGATCGCCCACACCCCCAACCCCCGCTTGGCCACGGGTGAGTCCCCGCCCCAGCCCTGGCCCTTGCTGGGAGGAGGGTGGGGGAGGAGGGGCTTGGGAATGTTTCTTGTTGGGTACAAGAAGAGGCAGAACCCCAAGGTCACTGGCCTGGCCACCCTGTACCACTTAATGACCTCGAGCTCTGCCCTGGGACCTCACTTAACCTGTCTGTAAACTGGGGATGAGAGTCTTCCTTACTGGACCATCTTCATTATCCTCCCTGACCCAACCACCACCCTGGGATGTTAGAGGCCAAAAAACCAGTAGGGACTGGTACCAGGGTGGTACCAGCTCTAGCTCCTGTGGCTTTGCATCTGGCAGGTTCTGAATGAGTGGGTGTGGGCTCTCATGAGTCTCTGCAGCCATTTTTGCTGGGGTGGGTGGGACTGTGTTTCTCAGGGGGCACTTTTCCCCATCATGACCACACCTCAGTGGGCAGGTGGGCAGGACATTGAAAGGGGAGGCAGTCCGGTTTTGTATGAGCCTTTTCATCTCTGGTATCTGCATCCAGGAGGTCACCCTGGAGGCAGGTGATAGGTGGAATCACCTGGAGGACTCCTCAAAGTAGAGATTCTGAGCTGGGCACAATCATGGCTCAGTGGATAAGCACCCAGTACCGAAAAAAAGAAGAAGTGGTGCAGCTTCTGCTGGGTGGGGCCAGGGAAGCCTCAGCACCTGCCGGGAAGGGAGGCCCTTGCCTGGGTGCAGAGCCCACCTTTGGAGCAGCCTGGTGGTTGGAGGCCCTGCAGGTCTGCCCGTCTTAGGGGCCCTTGCAAATCCAGACTCCCTGAAGCCTTGGGTCCTGCCCCATTGCCTAGGACCTTCTAGAGAAAGCTCTGTCTGGGTGATTCTAACTCTCCCCTCTCCAAAGCCACTGGGTCACCACACCCTTTCCCAAGTCGGTGTCTTCCCTGGGTCCCCTACTCATATTTGATGCTTTGAGGGCAGAGCTGTCACAGAGCAGCCTGGCACTCCAGACACTGCTCCCCACCACAGGGCTGACCTGAATGAGGAGGGGTTCGTGGGTGCTTGAGCAGCCCAGTGTGTGCACTGCAGAGCCTGGAAGCTGCTAGCACCGGTCAGGGGTGGATGCCGGCTACAGAGGCTCATGCACAGCTTGTCCACAGCTCTCTTCTTCCCCTCCTCCCTGGGGGCTGGCTCGAGCAGCCCTGGGTACCTCCCAGGTCAGGTGGGGCTCATGTGGCCCTGCTTCTCAAATAGGATGGGCAGGAACCATTCTAGGGCCACTGTAGTCCCAGCTGGGAAACCCCACAAAGGGCAAGATGGACTTTGGGGAGAAGCTGCCCATCCAGATCCTTAACACGAGAGTGAGGGCATGTACCGCAGGGTGTGCCCATGTGCCCTTCCGCAGTGTCACTCCGGGTTCAGGGCCATCCAGATACCCAACCTCACAGACCCATGCCTGGCCCAGCCACCCTGAGTGACCAGCCTCGGAAACAGCCCCTCCCCCGCAGCCCTGCTCTCCTCCAGGGGCGGGAGACTGTTTGGTTTGTGACCTCATCAAAGGGACAGGCAGAACACAGAGGCAGTGCTGGGCAGGCTGGTGGCTTGTCATAATGACTGGCCGGGGCCGTCCCATACCCTCTGGTCCTTTGCCCAGGAGCCAGGGCGTCCTCCTCAGACGTCAATGCCTCGGAGTCGGGGGCTGGAACATGTGGCAGAGGCCCAGTGTGCCCCTCGCCACTCGCCAGACCACCCCGACGGCGACGTTGCCTGAGCCGGCCTCCACAGCTGATTTTTGTTTCCCCGTCTCAATGGACTTACCAGAAAGCAGATAGAGCCTAATGCCATTCCGCAGCCCGAGCTCCGCGCCCCGGCCGCTCCCCCTGCACTCAGAGATGCACGTCCTGCTGACTCTCAACGACCGGAGCTGCCTGGTGCTGCGCAGCTCGGTGATGGGCCTCCTCTCTTCCTGTGCTCACGTCCCCTGTACCCCGCCAGCCCCCACAGGTGCCAAGAGGACCCTCTCGGCCAGCAGCAGCCAGGCCTCCCATGGCCCTGAGCCTGGCAGCCAGCCGCTGAAGACGCGCACGCTGTCAGGGATGGCGTCCAAGACCACCACCACCATCACCCCGAAGCGCGTCGCCCACAGTCCATCTCTACAGGTAATGGGCACCAGCTGGCTGCCAGCCACAGGTCCCTGTTGGCAGCCTCTGGGCTCCTTCCTCAGCCTCTCCATCCCGTTCTCTGACACCCAGGAGCATGGTGTTCATTCTTCTGGATTCCCTCTGTGAGGTCTTTTGTGCCTGTGTTTTTATTTTATTTTTGTTCTGTTTCTTTCCCTCCGTGGGTTCAGTTAAATACTTGGGGTTTACATTTTAGAGTGGATGAACCCAGAACCTTGGGCATACTGGGCAAGTGCTCCATCACTGAGCTGCACCCCACCCCTCATGCACTGTTTTATTTTTAATATTTTACATTTTATTTGTAGATGGACACAATATCTTTATTTTATTTTTATGGGGTGCTGAGGATCGAACCCAGGGCCTTGCACGTGCTAGGCAAGCGCTCCAGCGCTGAGCCCCAGCCCCAGGCCTCATGCACTGTTTTTAGATAACTTCTGGGTTTTGGAAGTCTGAGCCCCACTTGCCCTCCACACTCACGTGTCTCCGCTGCTGACACTGTGTGTGGTGCTTCTGTCCCAGCTGGTGGCCTGCGCTGGTGCCTTAAATGCACACTGCCGTCTCTGGCATCCACAGTGCACGGCGGGGCTCGTGGTGGGTAGCATGATGTTGAGTGTCCACCCCAGGATCCTCTGCTATTTCTCTTTTTTCTCCAGAGTCTAAAGAAACCCATTATCCCAAAAGAGTTTGGGGGCAAGGTCCCCACCGTCATCCGCCAACGCTATCTCAACCTGTTTATTGAGGAGTGTCTCAAGTTCTGCTCATCCAACCAGGAGGCCATAGAGAAGGTGGGGGCCCCAGAAGTGAGTGTCCTGTTGGCTGGCTGGGCAGGGCTGGTGGCTGTGGCTGTGTGTCTAGTGGCTGGGGGCTGGGACAGTCACCAGACATTTCCCTGGCTCTCAGCCCTCTCTCTGGTACTGAGACTTGACTGGTCCTGGCAGCTCCCTGGTTACCTCCTGACCTGCTGCTGGGGCTCCAGGGTGCCTGTCGGGGCCTGAGGGCTGAGTGCCGTGTGTCCTGTCCAGGCGCTGAATGAGGAGAAGGTGGCCTATGACCGCAGCCCCAGCAAGAATATCTACTTGAATGTCGCTGTGAACACACTCAAGAAGCTCAGGGGCCTGGTCCCCAGCACTGTGCCTGGTCTCAGCAGTAAGTTCTGGGGGCAGGGGCTGTATGCAGAAGATGCAGACTGTCGCCTCCATCAGAGGGACTGGGAGTAGGGCCTGCGAGGGTCAGGCAGCCCGAAGCCCACCAAGGTCCCAGACAAAAGCCTCGAGGGGAAGCATAGCACTGCCAGGCTGTGGCTGCCTGCGCTCGGGCTGCTGCCTGAGGTGGACCTGGCCTCTTCTCACTGTTAACCACCCGCCTTGGCAAGTGTGGCCTCGGAGCTGAGGGGCCACCCGCTAATGGAGCCGCTCACAGCCTCTTCAAAGAAGAGGCTCTGGCGCCCGGGCTGTGCTCTGTGCATTAAGCTCTGGGGAGGAAGAAAGAGCCGGGTTAAGACATTTCATTACTGCCTCTCGAGAGGGTGCATTAAGCAATCAGCTGGCGTGTCCCCAGCTCGCTCTCGCCTCCCCCGCTGGCCTCCAGGCCCCCCTGCCTCCATTAGCTTCTCAGCCCGCACTCAGAGGTGTCTGGTGGCCTTTGCAGGCCTCCGGCTGTAGCAGCACAAAGCCCTGGAAGACCGCTGGATGGCTGTTCAGTCGGCCCGGCCTCCCTCTCCCTCCAGGGAGGGAGAGCCTCTCCTGGGGGCCTCTGCCCCGCACAGAGCTCTCGTGGGGAGGGGCTGCCTGGCACAGCCATGCCTCCTGTTGCTGGTCGAGGCCCTGTGGGCAGTGGGGAACTGTCCTGGAAGGACATTGAGGCACAGGGAGCTGGGTGGCCGCCGGGGGAGCAGTTTGGGGTGCCCAGCCAGCACTGGACAGATGTTTAGTGCACCCCTCTTCCTCCTTCACCCGCTTCCTTCCAGAAGCCAGTGGCCGGAGGGTCGTGTCCCATGAGGTGGTGCTAGGGGGGAAGTTGGCCGCCAAGACCAGCTTCTCACTCAGCCGCCCCAGCAGTCCCCGGGTGGAGGACCTGAAAGGTGAGCGGGTCCCTCCCAGCCTGGCCACCCTCCCAGCCCTGGCCAGGCTGCGTGGGCTGACAGGCCGCCGCCGTCTGCAGGGGCCGCCCTCTACAGCCGCCTCAGGGACTACCTGCTCACCCCGGAGCAGCTGCAGGAGAACGGCTACCCCTTCCCCCACCCCGAGCGGCCTGGCGGCGCCGTCATCCTCTCAGCCGAGGAGAAGAAGCCCAAGGACCGTGAGTCGCCTCCCCTGCCTGGGTGGGTGGGTGGGTGCAGAGGGCGGGGCTGCAGAGGGTGGGGCTGCCCAGCCCTCACCCTGCTCTGGCTTCTCCACTCAGCCTCCTGCAGAGTCTGCTGCCGCTGTGGCACCGAGTACCTGGTGTCCTCCTCCGGCCGCTGCGTCCGCGAGGAGGAGTGCCACTACCACTGGGGGCGGCTCCGGAGGAGCCGAGGTGAGGCCCACGCCCAGGCCCCACCCGCAGACCCCACTGGGGCCCTGGCTGCCGGGGCAGGGCCTCGCTGGCCACTCCCTGACCCCCTGCTGGTTTCCTTTCCTCCTCCTTTCCTGTAACAATGTCCACATGCCCTTTCGCCCTTTCCGTCTGCCTCTGTAAAAGTAGAAGCTGGGGCTGGGCCACCCTGGGAACACAGGGCTCGTCCTGTCCTGCTCCTGCTCTTCCCAGTTCCACTTGGTCTAGTCGTGCGGGCCCCAGCCCAGGCGCACATGGCCTGCCTCGTGCTGCTTCACACCTGCCGGCACAGCCCGCTGTAGGCCCTGTCACTCCTGCAGGCCTGCGTGGTGCCCATGCCTGCTGCTTCCTGGCTTCGAAGCTGCTGGGGAAGGACCCAGTTGCTTCCAGCTCAGCCCCTAAGTTCCCCGTCCTCACTGCATAGTAGGGCCTGGCTGCCAAACCACAGAGGGGGCTGGCATCCCCCTGCTAGGAAGCCCTGTCCTGGCATAGGCCAGCCTGGTGGGGGAGGTGCTGGGACACCCAGGCTGTGCCCCTGACCGCTGTCTCTCCCTCAGTGGCTGGGGGCTGGGAGACGCAGTACATGTGCTGTTCGGCAGCCGTTGGCTCCGTTGGCTGTCAGGTCGCAAAGGTGAGTCCTGCCCTGGCACCCCCTCTAGGCTCTTGCCTTCTGACTCTGGATTGGTTTGGGGTCAAGGGACACACTGCAGCCTGGCCTCGGGTCCTGGCAGATGGCCCAGTTAGCCAGCCCTTACCAAGGTGCCATGGAGCCCAAGTACCCAGAGGTCGAGGGCCCAGCCATCCTGGGAGCCCTCCCTCTGCCGTGTCTTCTCAGCAAGCTCCCAACCACAATCCCGGCTCAGGCTGAGGGTCACCAACTGGCACAGAACTTACCTGACGTGGGGCCTGGTCTTCTCTACCACGAATGGGCTTGAGGGTGACCAGAAGAGCTAAGCCTGCCCAGCAGCCCCTGGCCTGGGGGGCTCTGTCCCTGAGCCCCTTTCCCACTACCCCCAGCAACACGTACAGGACGGCCGGAAGGAAAACCTGGAAGGCTTTGTGAGGACCTTCGAGAAGGAGCTTTCAGAAGACACTCACGCAGGAATCTACGCCCTGGACTGTGAGATGGTGAGTCCTCCTGTGGATACAGGCACTTGTCACAGCCTGTGGGGCAGGAACTTGAGCCAGCCAGGTCTGGCACCGGAGCCAGGAGTGGAGCCTGGCCGCACCGTGAAGTGCAGTCACCTGAGGCAGGGAGGTGCCTGCCTGGGGCTGTTCCCAGGTGGGCGTGCCCAGGGTTCCTGTGCCTCTGGAGGCAGGGGGCTTGCCCTCCACTGAGGCCCTGTAGGTCTCTTGCCTGTTTCCCCATCTGTAAGTGGGGCTCTGCCTCCACCCCACAGGCCTCTGGGGGATGAGGCTGTGTCTGAGGCCTGTCCCTTGGCTCCTGCAGTCTTACACCACATATGGCCTGGAGCTGACCCGCGTCACAGTGGTGGACACAGAGATGCGTGTGGTGTATGACACCTTCGTCAAGCCCGACAACGAAATCGTCGACTACAACACCAGGTGTGGCCCAGCCCCAGCAGCAGGAACCCCAGCTGCAACTGTCCCCTCCCCACCACCTGCTCAGCCCACGGTCCCGTCTCCCCTACTCCCACCAGGTTTTCAGGGGTAACAGAGGCTGACCTCGCGGACACAAGCATCACGCTGCGGGACGTCCAGGCTGTCCTGTTGAGCATGTTCAGCGCCGACACCATCCTCATTGGACATAGCCTGGAGAGTGACCTGCTGGCCTTGAAGGTAGCACCCATCTGGATTGTGCCCAGAGTCCCTGTGGATCTTTGTTCTGGGCCCCATGGGATGTGGGGGTGCATCTGCCCAGGTCCTGAGGTACCCTGCCTGCCTGCCTGCCCGCCTGCCCACAGGTCATCCACAGCACCGTGGTGGACACATCTGTACTGTTCCCTCACCGCCTGGGCCTCCCCTATAAGCGCTCCCTGCGGAACCTCATGGCCGACTACCTCAGACAGATCATCCAGGACAATGGTGAGTGGCCTGCCCTGGGGGCCCTCTTCCCCGGCAAGGGCGACCAGTAACCGTGTCTGCCCTGCAGTGGACGGGCACAGCTCCAGCGAGGACGCCAGCGCCTGCATGCACCTAGTGATCTGGAAGATCCGAGAAGACGCTAAGACCAAGCGATGACTCCCGCCCGCCCACCCGCTGCCCACCCACCTCTCCTGCAGCCCCGGCCCGTCCTTAGCCCCAGGCCTCTTCCAAAACAGTGCAATAAATCTCGAGAGCTAATGCTGTGCGCCTCGCCAAGACATGGAACTCAGAAGCGGGACGAGCCAGCGCCATGAGAGAGCAGAGTGCAAAGACAACCCTGCAGCCCAGCCCCTGCCGTGGCCCCTCATGCCTGTCCCCACGTCCTTGCCCCTCCTAGGCCTGTGCTGTCTGAAGACTGCTGCTGACCAGGACAGACCCAGCCCCTGCCAGGTTCCAGTTGTATGTCCAGGGCAGTGGGACCTGGCCTGTCCCTGCTCTTCGTATGCGGTGACGTGGTGGGGGCAGGGCGGGCTGTTGTGGGCTTGTTTGAGACAGGGGTTCTTTTTTTTTTTTTTATTTTGTATTGTTATTTTTATTATTATTAATTTAAACCTGTTGACTTGCACAGTTACCTCCCCCACCGGAGGAACAAGGCCCTGGTGCGGCTTCCCTCCTGGGGGACAGGGGTGGGCTAGCCAGACCCGAGCCAGTGGCCCGGGTGCCTTTCACAAAGATCCAGCCCAGGTGGGCCTGGATGTCCCGCTCTGGGCTCCAGAGAGCTCCTTGTGCTTGGGTGGCTGGCTTCCAGAACCGCCTCCCCCGCCCATCTAGACTTCCGTGACCTCTGAGAGCCAAACCAGCCCCCAGGGCCCGCCAGCCTCTGGACACTGTCTTCCCACCAGAGCCCCACCCTCCTCCCCATGGGGTTCTCTGTACCCCACTCTCTCCCACCCTGGGCAGGGACAATAAATGTTTGTATGGATTTTAGACTCCATGGTCTGGTGGTGCTCCTGGTGCCCAGCAGGACCTCCGCACACACCCTGTGGGGCCACCAACCCCGGGGCCAGGTGAGGAGAGCAAGTGGGCCTTGTCTCACCTTCATCAGATGGCCTCTCTGGGCCCAAGCCATCCCTGCTTGAGGACCTGTCCTGGAGCAGCCCTGGAGCTTGCCTGGGTGTCTTAGAGCAGCCGGCCCCACTTCCTGTCCCCTGCCTGAGGGTAGATTCAGCCCCACCTTGCCTGCTCTGGGGGGTGCGCTGCACACAGGGGCCCCTGGGTTGATGGAGTGATGCCTGCTCGTATCTGCGGAAGGCCTGGCCCACTGCGTGCCTCTCCATCCCCTGGCCAGGAGATGCCAGCTGCACCAACTGTGGCTGAGTGGCCCCATCTGTGACTTGTGCTGGCTGGTTGGGGTAAGAGGAGGCCCAAGGCCATTAGGCCCTCAATTGTGTGTGTCTAACAAGTCAAGCTGGAGAACTTCTTGGACCAGGAGACAGGGAGGGACTTCAGCTTCGGGGCAGGGTGGAGGTCTGGGTCAGGACACTGTTGGCCACCTAGAAGAGGTAGTCCGCCATCCTGGTCACTTAGGCTGTTGAAGGCCAGGAGAGTAGGGCCGAGGGCTAAGGACATGGAGGCCACTCCCCCAGCACTTTCTGTCCCCAGGCTGCAAGGAGAAAGGACTCCTGGAGCCCTGGGGTCCATGTTGGGGTACCTAGCTCTGTGGGTGTCCCTAGTTAAGTCAGGCCATCTTCACCCTTGGGGGCTGTTCTTTTGACCAAGTTGACTGTCCCCCACCTTCTGTAAACAAGGCATTTTCTAAATAAATGGTGCCGATGTATTCACAGAAGCCCGCGTCTGTGTGATATCAACTCCCTTTCCCCAGGACGCACGTGCTGCCCCAGGGAAGTTGTGGGCAGTTGGGGAGCTCCAGAGGCTGGCCAACAAGCCAGCTGATAACTGAGGGCCAGCTCCTCTTCTGCCGGCCAAACTGGTCTGTTGGCCCTGGAGGCCTCAAGGCCTTTGCACACCTGATCTTCTGTGCTTGGGAAATGCTTTGTCCCCACTGGGATGACCCCCTGTGGAGGGTGCGGAGATCTGGTGCCACAGCTCTCCAAAGCAAGGACTCTTCTAAAGGGTACCTTTGTTTTTTTTTATTTTCCTACTGGGGATTGAACTTGGGCACTCGGCCACTGAGCCACACCCCCAGCCCTATTTTGTATTTTATTTAGAGACAGGGTCTCACTGAGTTGCTAGCGCTTCGCTGTTGCTGAGGCTGGTTTTGAATTTGCCATCCTCTTGTCTCAGCCTCCTGGGCTGCTGGGATCACAGGCATGGGCCACTGCACTTGGCTAAAGGGTACCAGAAAAATTTCTTAGGACTCCCCCCACGGGAGTCTTATAACCAATGACTGGGTGTCAGATAAGTGCCTTTTGCTTTAATCAATCTTAGGCACCCCTAAGAGTCAAACAAGCTTGCCCTTGGTTTCCAAAGCTAAGTGTGTGTTCACTGGGAGCCTCGGAAGGCGGCCACTTGGGGGAGGGAGTGGGGCCCATGTCTTCCCCACTGCAGCCTCTTTCCTTCATTCACCCAGCATCTGCCTGTAGGTGACACTGGGAGGAGATTGGGGGACAGTCTGGCAGACACAGGCACCCTGGTCTTTTGGGTGGGGGCCAGGCCAGAGGGAGGGACCCTGCCATAGGGGCTGGATAGGGGGAAGGGCAGGAAGGGCCTGGGCAGCCAAAGTTTGGTGCCCTCCTAATTTCCAAGTTTCAGAAAGTTCTGTCTGAAGACTGCTGCTGACCAGGGATATCTCCTCGGTCCCCCTCCCCCCCACCCTCAACCGGCCCTCTGGGCAGTGTCCCTCTGGGACACCCCGGTGGGCTTCCTCCGGCACCCCGGCAGGCTGATCAGTGTTTTAACCTGGCCCCCAGCCTAGAGCCAGCACGGCGCCTGCGCGGGGGGAGGTGCTCCGGCCGGCAGGCAGCCAGGCCACATACCTGCATGACCTGTGTCCTCCACTCCAGCCCCACACAGTCATGCCTGCAAGGCCCGTCTTGGCGGGACTGGACATTAACTACCGGGACCTGTTTTGAAGATCTTCCCGATCCTTCCCTGCGGAATGAAGCCCCTCCACGCCCCCATCCTCGGGCCGCTCCTGACGCCTTATCTGTTTGTTTTGTACTAGGGATTGAACCCAGGAGCGTTTAGCCACTGAACCATTTTTTATTAAAATAAATTTTTAAAATTCAAAATACTTTTTAAATTTTGAGACAGGGTCTCACTTGCTTAGGGCCGCGCAAAGTTGCTGACGCTGGCTTTGAGCTTGCGATGCTCCTGCCTCAGCCTCGGGTGCACCGCGATGACAGGCAGGGCCACGGCGCCCCGCCCCGGTGGAGAGCAACTCGCCCGGGCCCCGCCCCTCTTTGCGAGGTTCCTATAGGTCCCGCCTGCGGCCTGTCCCCGCCCCCGAGCTTGTCCCCGCCCCCGGCTGCCCTCTCAGCCAGGCCCCGCCTTCTTCCTGGCCCCTCCCTCGTCAAGAGCCGGCCCCAGCCCCGCCCCCAGCCCGTGCCGCCCGTTTCAGACCCGTTGGCACCGGGGCTAACAGCTCCACCAAGTCCACCGGCTGGATGCCCGGCGGCCCGCCTTAAGCAGCCCGGTCCCCCCCCACCGCCCGGCCCGCGCAGGTGAGCGGCGAGTGCTCCACTGCTATGCGTCCTCCGGGTTTCGGCGGTCTGAGGGCTTGGGTTGCAGCGGCCAATTCAGGGCACCCCCTAGAGGTTTGTGCATAGGACACTGGGACGGGGTGCCAGAGAGCCTGGCGCCCACTAGACAGAGTTCCCTGGCCTGGGCTGTGCTCTGGGCATTTGAAACCTGCCCTGCACCCCCCGGGGGCAATCCTTGGGACTGTGATTACTGGGGCTCGGGTTAGTTGCAAGTGGGGTGGGAGGAAGCAAGCTGTGTGCTTCTGTCCCCAGATAACTCTGGGGGATTCTGGCCATCTGGTCTCCTCCAAACCCAGCCCCCACCCACCGGGTCTTCCCCTCACCAAGCTGCACTTCACCTCAACCTCACTTTTCCTCATCTGGTGAATGGGCACTGGCCCCTCTCAGATTCCCAGAAGACCAGCGCTGTCCCTGAGCCAGGCCCTGCCCCACCAGGCCCTGGGGACACTGATGACTCAATGCTTGTGATCCCAGCCCCAGGGAGGTGGAGGGTTCAGCAGAAAAGGAGAGAGTAGAGGACAGAGGCAGTCAGAAACAGGATGGGGGACCCCCCAGGCAGAGGGCAAGCCCCAGGGAGTCGCAGGGCGCAGCCTTCGAGGTCCGGGACATACAGAGTGAGGTCGCCGCGGTGAGGAGGCTTCAACTGTGCGGGGAAAGTGCTCTGGCAGGGCTTGGGGAGGAGGCAGCAGCTGAAGTGCTGTGGAGTGGGGCGCCTCTCAGGCTCAGGGTGGGCTTGGGACTCCTAGGTCCGCGCTGTTGGGTGAGGGATTATTTGGGGAGCTGCCAGGGAAGGGGCTGCTGGTTAGGGGTGGTTGGAATGACCTCCTAGTGGCTGGACCAGGGTCCCCTGGTGAAAAACCAGACTCAGAATTCCTGAGCCTGTCAACCAGAGGGTTCCCAGCTGGGAGGGAAGTGGCTGGGCCTGCTGGACCCTCCCTAGGCTCCCCAAGGCCAGACCCCTCGTGTACACTGCTGGGAGATATGACATAACCCTGGGTCTGTCTGGTCCGTCAACAAACACGGATTGAGCCTCTAACCCAGTGCTGGGCCCCAGAGGGAGGGGCAGGAGGGGCAACTGGGCAGGGTTGTCTTGGAGCAGGGAGCAGTGGCTCCTGGCTAGAATCCCTGGTCTGGGCTGTAATGGAGGCAAAATTGGGGTGCCATCTGGGAGACTGGTGGACGTGAGGCTGTTGCAGGTTTGGGAAAGGTTTGGGACCCCTGGGTCTGAGGACACACAGACAGTGGCAGAATTTTCTGAGCCCAGGGAGGTGGCCACAGCTACACGTGGTAGTCAGTTTAGAGGGTGGACCCCTAGGCCTCTGAACTCCTTGAGGGCCCAGTAACAGGCAGTGTCCAGCCTAGGCCAGGGCCACAGGTGTGATGTTGGCCTTGGGCCCTTCTCCTTGACAGCCTCACCAACATGGGCAGTGGTACCCACAAAGGAGACCTGAAGGATAAGGAGCACACAGGTGCAGGTCCTGGGGCGGAGGGAGGCGTGCCCTCGGGGAATGGGGGGGCTGGGACTACCCCCCAACAAACATGCAGGACTTGCATGGTGCTCACATGGGGCTTCACACCCATCACTGAATGGGGGACTCAGGATTCGGGGCTGCCCAAGCAGGCCGTGGGTCTTGGGTTCCTGACAGCCCATCACCAAGCCTCACTTTGCCCATCTGTGGACGTGAGTGGACGTTAGTGAGTCTCCAGGCGCATTCTGAGTGGAGGTGACTCGGGAAGGGAGACACTCCTGGGATCCCTGTGCCCGCAACCGCTGAGCACAGGGCAGGGACTGGGTTGCACCCAAAGGTGCCAACCGTTTGTTTACAAGCCGCCCAGGCCCCTGGGGACCCCTTAGTGTTCCTGCCAGCGCCATCAGCTGCCTGTCCCTGCAGAGTTCACCTGGGAGGTGAGGGCCAACGACTGGGGCTACTACAAGCAGTTCAAGAAGAAGGTGTGCCTGTGCTGGTACAGGGACAAGTACAAGGTGGGCCCCCACCCTGCTTCCCGGAGCCCCATGGGTCACCTCTGGTCACCTGCGTGTGCCCTGCATTCTGATGTTATTCAGGCGCCAGCTCCTGTCCTTACCATGGCTGGCTTGGTTCATTCCTGTTCCCTGCCCAGGGAAGATGAAAGTCACCTAATACATACCCCGAAGTCCTGTGTCCAACCTCCCGTGGGGCCTTGCCTGGAGCACAGGAGTCCCAGCCGCGGGACCACGTTCAGCTGTCCACTAACGCTGGCCTCAGCGGTGCTCCGTGGCCTGGTTCAGTAGACGCCTGACTAAATCTGGCCGTGGCCTCTCAGGCGCAGGCGAGGGCCCTGTCCAGGGAGGGCTGGGCTGGCTGGGGTCCCGGCCTGGCAGCACCCTGCATGCCCACTGGTAGTTCTCTTCCAGACCAACGTCATCCGCACGGCCAAGTACAGCGTCCTCTCCTTCCTGCCCCTGAACCTCTACGAGCAGTTCCGCCGCGTGTCCAACCTGTACTTCCTCTTCATCATCATCCTGCAGGTGGGGCCCAGGCTGCCACCCCAGCCACGTCCTAGCCTGCAGGCCCCAGCAGCACTGTCCTCTCCTCCCCGGGGACACCCTCCCCAGCCACCCCGGCAGCACGGCCCTAGAGCCCTGGGCTGTGACTCCTGTGCTTGTACCCATGGGTGGCCGTCCCTCTGGTCCTTCCCCGGCCCCCGCTGCAGCCTGGCACACAGAGGTGCCCAATGCGTGCTGCATGAAGGAGGGTCACCTGCCCTCCAGGCCCAGGAGGGTGTCCTGCCGGCTCCCACTGACTCCCTCGGCCTGAGCTGCAAAGCTGACCGCAGAGGATGAGGAAACAGGGTGCAGATGGGGTCCTCAGGACTGGCCAGCAGGGACAGTCAGGTCAGGATAGGGCAGGCATCCAGCAGGGAGCCTCCTCTCCCTGGGGGGCACTGTTCCCAAACACCTCACCCATCCAGCGTCTTGCTTCTGGTCTGGAGAAGGTGAGATGCTCTGCTGTTATTCACTGGGTGCCTAAGCATGATTGGGCACCTTCTGTATGCAGCTTCCAGGCTGGGCATGGGGTGGAGGGACTGAGCAGTGACCCTGACCTCTGTCTGCAAGTGATTCAGGACCCAGTGAGGGGTTGGG